CCTGGCTCTTCTACCAGGACTCCTTGCCCCGGAAAAACAAAATGCGTCGCCAGTCTGAGAACAAACACCATCTGCCTGACTTTAAATACCGCGTCAGGCTCGTCAGCCAGGTCAGTCACCGCAACAGTTCCGGTCACTGTAACAGTTCCAGTCGTAGCTGTGTTCCCTCACCTCTGCTGTTTCTTTTTGTCCGTTGAAAATTTTCATCCCAAACTTCTCTGTATGGTCAGAGAAATGACAGGTCAGAGGGACTCATTCCTGACAAAACACAAAGGCCTGTGGGAAATTCTCCCGCTATAGTCTGACATACTGCATCCATTTTGAAGTACTTAATACTGCTGAAGTAACTGTGGAGAATATTTGTCCTTGTTGTGTGTGTCATTAAAATAAACATCTGTGTGTGTGTGTATGTGCAGAAGCATGCATCCTCACGACCGACACTGTGTGGAGAGAGAGTGTGAGGATCAGATTCCAGTGGACCACGGTGTGAACATCAGTGGAGAGATGATGAAGATGGAAGTCAGAGCCACGCAGCTCTTCTGTGCTCTGCCCTTCTCCCCCCCTCCTTCCGGACACAACAGTTGAGTCCTGTGGTACCGCTGTGTTTTCATCTGCCGCACCACATACCGTACACTAAGGCTGTGTGTTGGCAATAATCTGTCGATGCGATACGTATCACGATACGAGGCCAACGATACGATATATTGTGATAAACTATAGTCACAGCGATATATTGAGGTGTTTTTTTTTCACCAATGTAACTGTAGTCCCAGTGTGATCCTAGTCTGAGACTCTGTTCCATCTGAACATCAGTTACTGACACTGGAACAGAGGGATCTACATTTGGAATCACTAGAGAAGAAAGAAAAGAAAAAGAAAATGAACCAACACCAGGAATATTGGACTGGGAATTGGAGATAAAAAAAATTCAATACAATTTCAAAAGCCTTAATTTGTACTGTTTTTACATTTTACATTCTTCTTTTTTTTCTTCTTCCACTTTTGCCTGTTGAACTGTGGTTGTAAATGTGACTCGTTTCCTCATACATGTGACAGACATCATCATTTGTTTTATTCTTTAAAGAACTTTTAAAAACTAAAACCTTGGTTTGTGTTCTGTCCAGGTCAGATTCTCTACGTCCTCATCCCCCTGGTGGTCCTGTTTTTGTGCTCCTTTGTCCTTTTCCTGATCTACAAAAAGAAGACCCGCCCCAACACTAAAGTCCCAGACGCTATGGTGAGTTGTGTCCACAGTCACACACTGACACAGTGAAGAGTACAGACAAACACTCAGATGTTGACAATGTGTCTTCACTGAGCCCAGCAGTCACACTGACGCGTCTGTCTCTGTGTCCTTCAAGAAAATCAATAAAACCAACAGTGAGGCCCCGAGTCTGGAGGAGGGGACGAGGCCTGATTTCGTGACACACATGGAGCCTTCGTCTCCGACTCCTCTCCTCTCACATGAACAGACCACAGACTTTACTGCACCTGTTCGCCCCGACACTCATTGCAACGAGTTCATTCCCTTCGGAAGGAACCGTGAAGCTGTTCAGGGTGACGGGGAGGCGGAGCCAGACGCCAGTGTTAATGATGACGGTGACCGTGATGACGACGGTGATGAAGGACAGGGCTACAGGGGAGGCAGCGGTCTGGAGGAAGATGAGGGTGAGAACACCTCTGAGGGCCACTCTGGATACGAGCGTCGGAATTGTTTAGTGGACTTGGATCAGAACGACTTGGATCAGAACGACTTGGATCAGAACGACTTGGTCGACGGCTGCAACGCCTGAAGGTGGAGCCGATGGCCAAAAATGTTAGGTCAATCTGTGCTCTTCCCTGGAACCCATGGAAAAAATTTAGTTGCATGAAAAGGCCTGCAGGGGGAGCTTTCGCTTATCTATCTGCTGGCTTCATTTTCTTTCCGTCACATTGTGGATTACTTTGATTTTGACCTGGAGATGGTTGCCATGGAAACATGATCTTCACCATGGAACCGATTCATCTTACCGTGTGGACCATGCCCTTTGTGTTTATGTTACTGACTGTTTCACACTGTTCTCTGGGTCAACAAATACACCAGAGAGAGCGAGGACAGCCGTGGGATTGGCCGACTGACAGATCACAGATGGTGAAATACCGTTTTTTATTTTTACTTTACTTTTTTTTTTTTAAATTAATGGTCAATTGACTTTCGGGCCGCCACAGTCTCTGAAGTGGATGTGAAATGCTGGAGGTCATGTACAGAAAAGTAAAGTTGTCGTCATCACAAAATTCTCCTAAAGAACTGCAGATGAAACGTTTCCCACCAACTTGGCTCAGTCACAGGTTCAACTCCTGGTGGTGACTGGAGTGATGAACCAAATGAAAATGGTTCCTTTGAACCAACGTTCTGTCAAATACAGTCCTTGTTCCGTAGTTCCATTCCATCCGTTGGCAGTTAGCCAACATCGCTCGTCCAAACGTTAGTGATATAATTAAGTAGCCCACGGTCCGACTGTTAGCCTGGTAGAACACGGTGACGTTCTTCTTGAAGATGGTGTTTTCAGGGTCAGGTTGCTGTTCTGAACGACACGGTGGCTCTACCACCGCTTCAAATTCTCTGTGGAGAAGAAGTGGGCGGGGCACACAGTGGCTGATTACCATTTAAAGGTAAAGGCACCGGTCGTTCAGAACACGTATGTGTGGAGAGTCCAGCTGTGGTCACTGCTTCAGTGTATTTTTTTTTTTTTACTGTTGTGTCTTGACCTCTGACCTCCATGACCTCATCCAGCTTTTTAAAAAAACAAAAGACTAACCGACTGATTCTTGCTCTATAGTGCCTCCATCTTTGTTCCACCTCAGGTCTGACCTACAGCTGACTGAAAGATTTGAGTGAAATGAGATAAAAGTCCTTCATTTCCACACTAGGCCTTAATCTGCATTAAAACATTCCACAGTGAAACTAAGCTTTTTAAAAAAAAGCTGATTTGCACATTTTAATGATTGTTTCAAACATTCAAAAAAAAAAAAAAATCTATTAGCATTAACCTTAAACTTCTGGAATGTTCTCATTGTTGAAACATTGCAATTCATTAAAGCAAATAATCATTTCTCCCCTTCGTTCACCCCCACCTGCTGGTTAAACAGGGGAAGAACATTAAAAGAGGAACAAAAAAAAAAACAGTTTTCACCAAGTGGAAACTAAAAACTGTTTTGTTTTATCTCTGTTGTTTTTGCACTAACACTGCACTGGAGGATGTGATGACTGAGGGTGACAAGTGTGTGTGTGTGTGTGTGTGTGTGTGTGTGTGTTTACTTTGATATTGTTTGTTCAAAGATTATATTTCACATTAAGAAGCAGCGCTTCTGTTGTCGTCACCGTCTGCTGCAGCTCATGCCAAACTTCCTTCACTCTGGACAATTAAAAAGAAATGTTTAAACACAGTTTGACTGAACATCTGTGTGTTTTTCACACACACACAGCCCTAAACTCCACACTGTTCTGAGCTGTTCAAGAAAAACTTTTTCTGTTTCCTGCTGTAGTATCAGCGTCTCAGCTCAGGATTTATGTCCTCTAAAAACTGCTGTTTATCGTCAGGGGAAAGTCATAAAGTAACGCCGATGTGGAAACAACAGCGGGTCGGTTGACGGTCGGAAAACTGAGGGAAGGGAAGTTGATATTTTGAGTGTTGACCCAGGTTGTTGGCACGACTCTGTCATGTTATGTTACAGTTAATGCCATGAAGCTTCATGACATTTAGGTCGTTCCTTCCTCTGAAGCCAGTGACGGGAGCTGAGGAGGAAGACCTCTCTGTGGGTGGGTGTATGTGGGTGTGTGTGTGTGGGTGTGTGTGCTGCCTTCCTCTCTGACCCCTGTGTGTGTGGGTGTGAGGAAACATCACAGTTTCGGAATCGGAACAGACAGTATTTCTGGTCAAAACAGAAACAGGTTCATCTGGATTATCAGCCCAGATTATCAGCCCAATTCCTGGATATTTCCAATGACCGGGGATTCCACAGATACATTTAGTCGACCGTAGATTTGCCGGACTAAAACTAGACTAAGACCTACTAAGTCATCCACAGTACTAACTCAGTGAAGTTGCGGTGTACAGTACGCAGCAGTACACAGCAGTACACAGCAGTACGCAGCAGTACGCAGCAGTACACAGCAGTACGCAGCAGTTACAGTACATCAGGTGGCTCATCTTCCTGCTTCAGGTGAAGCTGAGTTCCTGTTACTGTTTGTTTCAGTGCTTCCAGTAAAAAACACAGGCGAGAAAAGTGTGTCATTGTGGAGCCGGTCCGACCGGAGTCTTAACCCTCAGGGGACTCAGGGGACCTGCGGAGGGGAAAGCCAGAAGTCACATGACTTCGCTGCACTCACTGGTAAAAGATCCTGGTCCAGTTTCAGGAACGTGACATTTACCGTCATAAAAACCATTTAAATGATTCGTCATATTTTCGTTGAGTTTAAGCACAGCAGGATCAGTGGGGAGAGAGCATGCCTACCTTTCAAAAGGTCTGAGGTTTAACTCCAGAATGAGTTGAACATTTATCTCCAAGGTTCTGGTCCCAGCTCTGTACCAAAACATAAGAACGTGTGTTTTAGTTTCCTGACAGACGTGACCGACCTGCAGGTTCACCTCGCGGAAAATGTCTCCGTGTTTTCGTACTTTTATAGCGTACACGCTGCTGTATTTCTTGTTTTTTTGTGAACTATCGTCAGCAGAGTCAGGCACTTTTCTTTTCATAAATAAATAAATACATAATGTAAAAGCCTAAATGATCAGTGTAAATATATTGTTACTTTATGGTTAAAAAGACTGGAAACTGAAGCTGCAGAGTTAGCTGCTCTGGACTCGACTGTGACTTGTCAGTCTTTGACTCGGGACTTGAGGGCAAAGACTTGAGACTTGCAAAACAATGACTTGGTTCCACCTCTGTCTCTCACACACACATCTTGTTTCCTAAAGAAAGTTTTTTTATTTTGAGGATGAAAGTATAAAAAAAAAATTTATTTAAATTTTGTTTCTTCTTCCACGAGGTGTGGTTTGACTTACTATCCCGTCAGTGAAGGCACCACGATAATGTACATATAAGGACAGGAGGTTTGAAACGTGATGCCTGCTTACACACACACACACACACACACACATACACATACACACACACAGAGGAAAAATAGGAAGTTAACGACAATTTAAAGGGATCATCCCTGCACAGGAGCTCAGTGTGTGTCACAGCCTGTGTGTGTGTGAGGTGTGTGTTGGTTGTTCTTGAACTCTGATCATCCACAGCATCAACACCATGACCACAGCCTGGATCCTGCTTCATCTGAGCGTCTGTGTCACAGCACGAGGTATTTTTCTTTTTCTTTTTCTTTTTTTTTAATGATTGAATATTTAACTTAAAAATGTTGATTCAAAATCTGAACTTTTTGTGTCCTTTTTGGTCAAAATTTGATGAAAGATTTTGTAAAAGTATTTTTCAAAATTGTTCTGCGTGTTTATCATCAAAATATAGCCTTTTGAAAAAAATTTATTTTGAAAAATATTTAGAAAAATTTTTTTTTTCAAAATGTTTTTTTCTGCATGTTTCTCATCAAATTAGGGCATTTAGAGAACATTTATTTCATTAGAATATTTTCTCAAAATCTGAACTTTTTGTCTCATTTTTGGTCAAATTCTAATACATTTTGACAAATGTTTGTAAAATTATTTTTCAAAATTATATGTTTTCCTGCATGTTTCTAATCAAATTAAGGCATTTCGAGAAATTTTTTTGAAATTTTTTCATTAGAAATTTTTGTGTAATTTTTGGTCCAATCTTGTCAAATTTTGAGGCACAAAGACAGACGTCTGTCTAAGAACTTTCTAAGAACTGAACCATGAGTTCAGACCAACAGTTTCAGCTGATGGTTTGTCGTTGGTGTGTTTCCTCTTCTCGTCTCCAGTGATTCTGGATCCTCCAGCTCAGGTGGAGTTCAAGTCCGTGGACTACGTCAACATCCTCCACTGGACCACAGCAAACTACAGCCACAACAACAGCCACAACAACAACAACAATTCTCTGAAGTACTACGTCCAGTGGAAGATGTGAGACACACACACTTTTTGTACTTTTTTTGTCGTTGTCACAGCTCAGAGTTAAATTTAGATTCTTTAAGAATTTTCTTCAGATGATTGAATCAAATCCTTCATCTGTGTTTGACTCTTAATTTAGTTTAAAGTTAGAGGTTATTAATGATTTTCTCAATTAAAATTATACATTTTTTTATATTTGAGCCAATTGTAATATTTATAAAATATACATCACATATACTGTTTTCTCAGTATGAATTCTGTCAGTGTCTTCTGCTCTGGTGCTCCATCTAGTGGCCGTTGAAGGTCACACCCCTGTGTGTGTTTCTCCTCAGTTATGGAGAAGCTCATTGGTTGGATGTGGACAGTTGTCAGGGGATCTACACCCACCACTGTGACCTGACGGAGGTCACCGCAGAGTCCAGGGAGTGGTACTACGCCAGAGTCCATGCTGCCTCCCCCCCGTCCTCTAAATCAGCCTGGACCATGTCCCGCAGGTTCAGCCCACGTTGGGACAGTGAGTCTGACGAAGCCTCCTCCTCTTCCTCCTCCTCTTCCTTCTTCTCCTCCTCCTCTACAGCATTACCCCACATTTCAACTATTTCAAAAAACCCAAACACCTTTATATTAAACATGTGGAGCAGGTGTGTCCAAAGTCTGGACTGTGGGCCAGGTATGGCTCTAACTGAGTCATTAGGGTCAGTTTATTATGATTAACAACAACAATGAATAGATTAATGGATTAATGGATGGATAACTGATTTATCTGTTGGTGGAAAAAATACAAAATGTGGTTAAAAAGGTCCATCAATCAGTCAATCATTAGAGAACTGAAGAGCTTCTGTCTGCAGCCAGGATCAGTTCTCCAGTCCTGAGGGTCAACGTCACAGACCAGGGGATGACGGTTCATGTGAGACCTTCACAACATCTGGTTCACAAGATCCACAAAAATCTGTTCTACAAGATCTTTCTCAAACACAACAGTGGAGAAGAGGTACACACACACATGCACAGATGCACACACACACACACTCACATTGATCCTAGTCAGGTGACTTATTGTCCGTGTGTCCAATCTGCAGGAATTGTTTGAAATGTCCTGCTGCTCCAAGAAACTTGTCCTGAAGAACCTGGAACACAGGACCAAGTACTGCCTCCAGGCCCAGACCGTCGTCCCCCCATTCATGAGCAGCAGTCGCAGCTCTCTGGAGTGTGACATCACACTCTGATGACACAGGTACACACACACACATTTCTTCATGGTTGATGGTCACCGTACATTAAAAGAACATTTTACAAAGCTACAAATTTTTGAATTTCTTTTCAAAATTGTATCTTTTCTGCATGTTTTTCATCAAACTAGAACATTTTGAGAATTTTTTAGAAAAAAAAATGAAATTTTTAGGTAACATCCTAGCATTACATGTCATGTGGTCACATGGTGAAAAATTATGATGAACATTTTTGAAAAAAAAAATCAAATTTTTGTCTTTTCTGCATCTTTCATATCAAAAAAGAGCATTTCTAAAAACATTTTTTTTTAGACATTTTTCAGTAAAATCCTAATTTCAGGTGTCACGTGGTCACAAGGTGAACAATTATAAAATGATTGATGATTTTGTGTCATTTTTGGTCAAAAACTAAAAGATTTTGAGAAAAATCTTTGTAAAATTATTTTTTTTCACGATGGTAAGGCTA